TGTGTGGCTATTGAGCACTTGAAATGTGGCTAGTACAGCCCTGAAATGGAACTTCACATTTTATTTAATATTATTTAATGTGAATGTAAATGGCCACCAGTGGTAGGCAGTTCCATCCTGGGCAGCGCAGGTGTGGGCAGTGGGTCCTTTGGCTCTTCTCCAAGATGACTTCTACTCTTCTCCTGATCCACACCAGGGGTGCTTCTCCTTTTCTTTTCCTTCTTGTTTCAAGGATTCCTCAACTGTCTCTCTAGTCAGGCCTTATTCTGTGATGTTCATCTCTCTGCCCTGCCTCATTTCCTCCCCCAGCCTCTGGGAGAAGAAAGCACTTGCTCTACACAGTAATTAAATTTTGAAGGTTTTCTCCCGCTTTGGTGCGGACTGGCGGAATGCTGGGAGTGCCCACAAATTTCCTGTGACAAAGAAGAGAATGAAGGAAATTACCAGAAACCACCAAAAATGTCTCTCTTAATTGCAAGTACTAGCTTCGAGGAGGCAGTCTGTTCCGGCTCCTTTTCAACTGACTACAGATTTGAGAATCTAGAACTGTGTGCTTTAGAATAGGGGTGGATTTCAAAATGTGCATTTTCTAGACCCCAGCTGCAAGAGACCTTGATACCAAAACCCAGTGGCCTAGCAATCAGTATTTCTTAAATATCCATTAGAGTTTCTGCATCAAACCACGTTTGGGAACTGATTTAATCAACACACTGATTTACTTAGGAGTTTTTGATTTAGCCTCACTCCATTAAACGCCCATAGACTGCTCTGCTTTCCAAATGCTTATGTTCACTTTTTACGGTTTTTCTCTGATCTCCCCTGCATTTACGGTCACCTCCAACTTCCTGCCTCCTTCTCTCTCCAAAAGCACACAGATCAGCTTTTCAAAGTTAGAATAACGCATGTAGTAATCGTAAATAAACTGCATGAAGAGCTGAGATTTCTTTCTATCTCTACAGAGGCCTGAAGTGTATGAACTCTGTGATATGTGCTTTAGTCAACTTTCTTTCTAGGAGTTTGGCCCCTCTTGCCTTGCTCTCTACAGACAATCTTCATTTTTTAAAATTTTGCATGCCAGTGCCCAGAGTGTATTTATTAATAGTTTGAAACTGTCATAAATCCTCAGCATCTCTGCCTTAGCACTGCCAAGCTTGAATGGTCTAGACATTGTATTCAAAAATAACTCCCTCTGGGACAGGCCTGAAAGTCTCTGGCACAGGATTCCATCTATCTACGGATACTTCTCCTAGGAGATTAAAAGTCTTCCTGGCAGGCACAAATTTTGTCCCTGGAGATCCATCCACTATGGCCAGTATTATGTAAAGGATAAGAGTTCAGTGGTTGATATCCACTGAATATAATTCAGTCAACAAAAGAGTGGATTGTGCATATATTGCATATATGCAACTCATTTATAACCAAGGAAGAGAGGACCAACAGAAAGTTAGTTTGGGGAGATTTAAAAATAACTGAACTTATATTGGGGAAGTCTTGCTCTTGGAGATAAAAATGGCTTTTATTGCCAGCTGTTGCTCGTTTTTTGGTAGGCGGTATCAAGCATGTGATGCTTTGGTGGCTACACCAGATTCTCTTTTGCAGAACTTGCATGTAGGGTGTGGGTTCCATCCAATCTGTTATCCCCCTGTTCCTTCATCCATCCCATTGCCATGCGAGTTTTACTGAGTAGGTGATATTTACTAGAGGCCACGGATCATTTACCATGTCCTCATACCTAAAAGATTAAAGTTCACCTTGGCCCAGGACCCC